CTCAGAACCCCCATGATCAACAGAAAATACTATGTTTTCTGATGATCTTTGGTGACCCTTCCGACACCCCCTCATGACCCCCCCCCCCCGCGGGGGTCCCAACCCCCAGGTTAAGAAACACTTGACCGAGTAGCTTTTGAATAGAGATGGAAATTATACCCAGCTCTGGAGATTGTTAGACTTTGACTGCACATTTCACCATAATAATAATAATAATAATAATAACAACAACAACAACGACAACAACAACCACAACAACATTATTATTATTATTATTATTATTATTATTATTATTTATTTATTTATATTCCGCTATATCTCCCCAAAGGGACTCAGGGCGAATTGACTAGTCCAGCTAACATTTTTGGTAATCATGGTCCTATAAGATCTATTAGACTGGAAGTGACAGGGAAGTGATTTCTAAGTCACCTCCTCTTGGGAAAAAATACCAATATGGTCCAAACATCTCTAGAGGGTGTTTGGGGGTATTCTGGGGAAAAAATTGGTCTTTTAAAGATAGGGGTACAGCAGGGAAGGCTGATATGACCCTTGATCTTTGACAGTTGCCTGCCACTGATCTAGAGCACTACTTCTTTAACTTCGGGTCCTGACCCCAAATGGGGTTCCCTTAGCTCAATTTTGAGGTCATGAAAAATTTGACAACAGTAAAAGGTTTATGAATGCCACCCATTTTCACACATGTTTAGAGTGGATTCTACAATAATTGCTGTTTTCCACACAAAGGGAGAGCAGCCTGCTTAGCAAGCCTTGTAAATGCTGGTTTAGTATCAGCAACTATTTGATTTTTATACCTATTATATATATATACCTGGGGTCATGTAAACATTTGTCGGTGGGGAAAGGAGACGTGAATGGGGAAAGGTTAAGAAACTCTGGTCTAGAGGGCTGAATGATTCCTATATCTGCTTTAAATGAAGGAATGCTGTGATTCAAGAGGATTGCTTGCTTTACATTGAACCTCACTGAATACAAAGGAAGAGCTGCAATATCCTATCACCTTGTCTGGCACACAATTCTGATCAAAGCTGCACTATGTTTCATTCAGAAGGAGAGAAAAAGAATACCATCAATGCCTAATGTGTTGATGGCGTTTTAGCTATTTTTCACTCTCGTAATGATCACCAGGGTGTAACACATGGTAGGTCATATAATATTAAAGGAGAGAATAAAGATTGCAACATAAAAATTATATACTTCTTTAGAACATTAAACAGAAGGTAGCTTTAGCTGAAATATTTGTCTATAGCACTGAAAAGAAATCTATCATCAAGAGCATCAACAACGATTGGATATGACCAGAAACTGTGTGCAAGGAATGCAGAGAGAAGAGCAGGTTTATGCTTGCTGTTTCCGCTCCTGAATTACAGGTATTCAGAGATTCTAACTACAGAATCTGTATGCTTTTTCAGGTAGCCTATAGAACAGAGCTTTCGAAACTTTTTCATGTTGATAACACTTTTCGCAACACGGTAATTTAGTTTTACCAGCAAACCAAACCTTTATAAGAGTTTCATAATATATAAGGTGTATGTGTGTGTACTCACATAAATACACACATATACAGGTACATTCATACATACATGCACACGCGCGCGCGCACACACACACAATGTATAATGGCCTGTGGATCACAACCAGATACAGTGAAGACACCTGCCCTTACACTTTGCTACTCTCCTGCTACGCATGCCCAGTGTGGAATACATCTCACCACATTAAAACAATGGATGTGGCTCTTAATGAGACATGCCACATTGTCACAGTATGTCTACGCCCAACACTGCTGGAGAAATTATACTGTTTAGCCGGTATTGCACCACCTGGAAGTAGCAGCCTGTAATGAAAGGACCAAGGTACTGACCTCTCTGGCCCATCCTCTTGTTCGGATACCAGCCAAGCCAACACCTTAAATCAAGAAATGGCTTCCTACGATCTACAGAGATACTCACAAAAACACATCAGAAAGCGAGAGTCCAAAAGTGGCAGGCGAAAACCTGGAACCTCAATCAGTGGCTTTTACCAGATGGGAGACTCCCTCCTGGGCACACAGAAGAGTGGGCAACTTGAAAGGCACTGAACAGACTGTGCTCTGGCACCAGGAGATGCAGAGCCAATCTTAAGAAACTGAGCTATAAAGTGGAGTTCACGACATGCGAGTGTGGAGAAGAGCAAACAAAAGAACATCTACTACAATGCAACCTGAGCCCTACCACATGAACAATAGAGAACCTCCTTACAGTGACACCAGAGGCACTCGAAGAGGCCAGCTTCTGGTCAAAGGAAATTTAGTACAATGCCAAGTTTTTTACTTTGTTTGTGGTTTTTCTATACATTGCAACTGTATTCTCAATTTGTTTCTGACACGGTAAACAAACAAACAAACAAATAAATAAAATGAGCTTGTTTCAATGACCTTGTGGAGTGGTTCCTCACAAACTTCATCGTTAACAGATTTTTATTTCCTTATTTAGAAACGTATCCATTTTAGTGGTAATTACTGCAACTCAATTAAAAAATTGTTTAATTTATAAAAGTTGTAACTGAACCTACACCTGGACAGCACCAGCACTCCACTTCTGTAGTGATAACTTTTCTGTAGTTTTTTAAAGCCGAGGCTGGATGGCCATGCGGGGGGAGGGGGGGGGGCTCTGACTGTGCCTTCCTATCTAGTAGAAGGAGGCTGGACTAGATGTCCTTTAGGGATCTCTTCCAGAAGAGTCTCCTTCTCTTGAGGTTTCTGAACAGAGACTGGATGAGAGTCTGTTGGGAGGGTTTTGTCTAGGTCTTCTTGCCTGGAAGAAGGGGCTTCAATCGGATGTTTGTGGGGGAAGGGAGAAATCTTTTTCATGTGACACACCTGTTTTGTCCCATTTGGAAAGCTCTGCTATAGAAAGTCAGTGCCCCTGATCATCAAGGCATGTTAAACCAACTGTTACTAGTAAAACCACTTCCTTAAATTAACTGTATACAGTTTCTGATCATGTGAAAATAGCTACAGTGCTGTCATTTAGGAATCTAAAATCAACTTCTGTTGGTGACATTTGTACCCTGCCCTTAGTCTCAGGAACTCAGAGCAGCCAACTTGTTTCTTGCCTTCTCTTCACAATAACCCTAGGAGGTAGGTCAGTCTGAAACTGTGTCACTGACCCAAGGTCATCCAGTAATCTTATCAGACTTCAATAAGTAGGTTTCAAAACTCCTAACAAACGAGCACACGAAAAATACTGTACCCATTTATGTCCAATGGTGGATAGAATAGAAAATGGTGGATAGAATTCAGTGCACGTAACTTAGGTGCCATTTTTCAGAATTCATATCATATGAACTTTATCACCCATTCTTCCAGGACAAACTTTGCTGAATATTTGGAAATATTCACATATATATATATATATGGATTGTGTTTTCTAACAGAGGAAGGGATTGGGAATATAATGTGATGAAAGATTCAAGGAACTGGTAGAATACACAGAAGATAAAAACTGTGTTTGTGTGACAAAGCCACACCAGACTGTGGTCAATTTTTTTTTAAAAAAAAGTTATTCAAGAGGAAGAAGAGACATCTTAGGCAAGAGCGACCATTGGTTCCCGTCAAATCATAGCCCTTCTGCTTTCTTACTGCTTTATCCATCTTTTTTTCCCTGATAGCAAAAAAAAAAGTTGTAAATAATCTCAAATCTTTGTTATTGCTCCATCAATGAAGTACAGGCAGTCCCAAGTTATGAGCAAGATAGGTTATGTAGGTTTGTAATTACGGTAAGTTGAATTTGTTTGTAAGTCAGAACAGGTACATTTTTAAGTGTAACTCCAGCCACACACACACACACACTAAGTGTAACTCCAGCCATTAAGTGTACTCCAGCCTATATATATATGGCCAGCGTTACACTTAAAATGTACCTATTCTGATTTACAAACAAATTCAACACACACACACACACACACACATATATATATATATATATCGCTTTCGATAGCATATGGAAGGGATAATCCAACCTGAGTCCCCTTGAGATCCACCCTGAGTCCTTTTGGGGAGATAGGGCAGAATATACTGTAAAAGTATTATTATTATTATTATTATTATTATTATTATTATTATTATTAATTTCCTTTTAGTGTTAGTTTTCTGTCTGTGCCCGTTCAGCAGATTTCATCTCACTTTTTGCCCATTGGATTTTGAATAATTTGGCTTGTCGTGGAAGCAAGGATTGGTGATAAAGTTTCAGTGGAGACCCCCTTTCCCCATGATAATTCTTTCAAGAGTGAATTTCCCTTCTGAGAGGTAGATGTCTCTCACTTCCTGTTGTATCACACCCATTCTTTGCCAAGAGTTGTTTGTAAGTCAGGTGTTTGTAACTTGGGGACTGCCTGTATATTGCTGTTACACTGTGTTGTAAACCCTAACATAGAATGCATGGTTTAGGGAGAAAAGCAGAGCAAATGAATACCTTCTCTAACTGATATTGTAAGGTGCCGCCCATCTGAAAGCAACTCTGGATCCTGTACAGAATGTGAGAAAGAATGTTTCTTTTTTCCCTTTCTTTTTGTGCTACTATTTACAGAGTCTGTCGGATATGCTGTTTTCAAGACTTTGAGAAATTTCACTTTTACAAATCTGGTTCTGTTAACAAATTAACTACTCTGTGTTTTTTGAGTAGAAAGGGTAGGCATTTGTTCTGTGCTGTGACCAATCCACAGGCATTGAAAGAATAACCTTCCTCCCTTGTTGATCAATGCCTTCAAGTCATTTCTGACTTGCGACAACCCTAAGGCAACCCTATCACAGAGTTTTCTGGTTCTGAAAGTGTGCGACTCATCCAAAACCACCCAGCTGGTTTCCATGGCTAAGAGAGTAACTGAATCCTAATCTCAGGAGGAATAGTCCAACAATCAAACGACAACAGCCTGCTGGCTATCTAACCTCCCTACCTCCTGGTAACCCACAAAATATTGATAGGATAAGTAGTGCTACTCACCTGCACTTAGTAGAAAGAATTTAGCTTCCTTGTGTGTCCTCATTGTTCCTCTTTTGCCTCTCCTACCTTTTCTGTGGTTGCCAAATATCCAGTTCTTAAGTGAAGTTTTTGTATCTTGTGCTTGAAAAAGGACGACTTCCCTCCAGATTGCAGTTTTGAACTATATTCTCACTTCCGGCCTGCACCTGCTTTTTTACACTTCCATTTCCTTCTCACCTTTGCTCAGCGTCCCCCCACCTCTAACTAGAATGACAAGCTGTGTCACCACTAGGTTTGTAGGCTTGCTTCTCTTTCCCTCGCTAACTGAAGAAAATGACTCTGCCTTATTATTTTGCCCTACCCTCACCTAAGCAAACAAATCATTCTTGCTGCTTCTGTCTGAGAGGGACTTATACAAAAGAAGAACTGGGTTTCTCTAACCTTCAAATGGACATGTTACTACAAACCTGTTGAAACTGAGATAACACAAGTACTGCTCCAGGCACTATATGGGGTTTTTAAAGCGATAATTAAAGAGTGTCCTGTAGTTGCATCTATCAAGATTATCAGAACACTTTTCTAAGTAAAGGATATTATCTATGGTAGTCTGATCCTTGGGCCCTTCCACATTACACAATTATAGGCAGTCTCTCAGTTACAAACATCTGACTTACTAACAATTCATAGTTCAGAACAGGGGTGAGACAACAGGAAGTGAGAGAAATCTACCTCTAGGAAGGGAAATTCACTCCTGAAAGAATTATCATGGGGAAAAGGGGTCTCCACTGAAGCTTTATCTTTGTTTTCATGCCAAATTTTTCAAAATCCAAGGGACAGAAAATGAGGTGAAATCTCCTAAGCAGGGGCACAGATAGGAAAACAAACACCAAAGGGATGTCATCCCTTCCAAGCTTTATCCTTGTTTCCACAACAAGCCATTTAAAAAAAAATCAAAATATCACTGGGATAGAAAGTCAGGTGAAATCTCCTGAAAGGGGACACAGACTACAAAAGAAAAACTACAGTAGTGTTGTCTTTCATATGCTATCCTACGATCCTATACACACAGAGAGAGTAGAGTCTTGTTTATCCAACATAAACAGGCTGGCAGAATGATGGATAAGAGAAAATGTTGGATAATTAGGAGGGATTAAGGAAAAGCCTATTAAATGTCAAATTGCATTATGATTTTACAAATTAAGCACCAAAACATCATTTTTTACAACAAACCGACAGAAAAAAGCAGTTCAATACACGGTAATGTTATGTAGTAATTACTGTCTTTACAAATTTAACACCAAAACATTGCAATGTATTGAAACAGCTGTGGATCCGGGTGGGAGGCAGCCTTCATTGGATAATAGGCTTGGTTGATCCAGTTCGTTAGTTTCTTATCTCGTTATTAATTCGTTAAATAATTACCTTTAGAAGCGACATCGACGCGTTTTGGCAACCTGGAAGTGTTTTTGCCATATTGAAGCCGTGTCCGCCATCTTCCTTACGACTTCCGCCAGTGAATTGTAAATGCTGGGGGCGTGGCCTTCAGGAACAGCTGTTCTTACCCACGGCCACCTCCTTTCTCTTTGCACCAGCGGCTTTGCGAGGTGGGTGTGACTACCTCCCTGGCGACAAGCGGCTATGCGGAAGAGCTGGGCGTAGCCACGCCCACCTCGCAAAGCCGTCGATACAAAAAGGAAGAAGGTGGGCATGGCCAAGCACAGCCCTCCTTGGAGGCCTCGCCCCCAGTGACCTCTGAGGAGCACTGTGCTTGGCCACGCCCACCTCTCCCTTGGACAGCTTGCCAGGGAAGAGAAAGAAAGGTGAGAGATTTTAAAAGTGTTAGTTGTAAAATCTCCAAGGAGCACTATGCTTGGTCACTAGGGGCGAGGCATCCAAGGAGGGCTGTGCTTGGCCACGCCCACCTCTCCCTTCTGCATGGAAGCTTGCTGCAAGGGAAGGAAGAGAAACTGCGAGATTTTAATGGTTCTGGAGGGAGGGAAGGGCACCTTCCATTAACGAAACAAAGAAAACGATTCGTATTTCCTGGTATTTTCTATCTTTTTTTAAAGGAAATTTTGGAAATAATTTAAAAATTGAACCTCCAGCGCCCCCTACATATGAAACGAGTTTAGAACCATTTTTTTCTTGATCAACCAAGCCTATTGGATAATAAAGAACATTGGATGAGCGAAGGTTGGATAAGTGAAACTCTTTTGTATATACTGACACACACATATGGCTAGAGTTACGCTTTTACAAATTCAGCTTGAGAACAAACCTACAGAACCAATCTTGTTCTTTACTTGGGGACTGCCTTTATCGCGATAGCACTATAATGCTTTGATTTCACTCTAACTTCCATGGCTGGATCCTACTGAATCTTGGAGATTGTAGTTTGGTTAGGCACTACATGTATCTAGCTGAGAAATATCCCTCCCTGAATTGCAAATCCAAGAATTCCATAGGATGGAATCATGGTGTTAAACCAGAATGATAGTGCTATAACTATGCAGTGTGGAAGGGCCTCTGATCTAGTTTCACATACTGAATTCCGCTGCCTTGTGTATGTGTTCATTAATATGTCCCATCCTCTAGATCTGAGGGAGATATATATTAAACCAACTTCACTAACTTAATGCAGTGCAAACATTGAAAATAATTTTAAAAGGCTAAAAATAGATTCAATCATTCAGCATGTTAAAATGACAGATCAAAGCCTATTATAATGGTTTAGCATTTTTTTAAAAAAAAAATTAACTGCCCTTATTCCATCGTAAGCAAATTCAATATCTTCTCCCACTCTACTGGGTTTTTTTTTACTAAATTGCATTTATAATTAAAACTTAGGAAATTGTTGTTATGTTTCTGATTATCTTTAAAAAGATAATGTAGGTGCCATGTATATTTAAAAGCCTATATGTTACCGCTTAATATATCAGTAACGAGAATGGTTTTTCTTCTTTAGAGCTCTATATGTCCCAGAAGCCCAATGCACAGGAGTATAAACACTAATTAGGCATCTAATTCAAGACAGTACAGGCCATAGTTATCTGTTTTATTCTCCTGTATGTATGCCTGAGGCACAAACTAGACATTTAAAGAGGAATGCCCGTTCTATGAATAACCTGTTTTTCTTCCCATAATGGTATGTCCTCAAAGATATGTATGCCAACAATCAATGTTTATCTCCCATTGATCAATTTCAAAACAAGCCATTCCAAATGGAAGATACATAGGAAAAATTGTGCTTTCATAAACACCAATTGCAAAAAGAATAATAATTAAAATGGAAATATAGTTTGTTCCTCATCCTTTACTTGATATACTTAACTTAGTTTACATAGGTAACATATCTTTTTAAAATATTTTAATTGTTTTTAAGTAGCAATTCAATTGTGATTACCGTAGCAATTAGCATAACTCATCATAGAACAATGACAACAACAACAACAATGGTTAAAGGACAACACCAAAAAAAGAGTTTGAAGAGTGCACAAAATTTGGCTACAGAGGTTCCTTGATTAATAGAAACAATTTGAAAAGACTAAAAGGACGATGGTGGAGCTGTGCATTGCTTCCCTACTACTCAATAGCTTGTGTCTGGAAATGCTATATTTAGAAGGATGATAAAATTTGAAGCTGACAGTTGTCCTGCCCCTTCGAGAAGAAATCAGAGAGAGGGCAAGAGGCCCACTGATCTTATCCTCCTTGTGTTCCCTGACAATTCACCTTTTTGGTTCCCAGCTTCTGTTCCCAAGAAGGAAAAACTTACTGTCAAGAGGAGACACACTTCCTCACCACAGACGGTAAGTTACCATTGGGATCTCACAACTTGCTGGGTCATTGTGTAGTGGAGCAACTCACTTCTCGCTTTTGGAGGCTTGGTTGAATTCCTGACATTTGAGACCAGCTGCAAGGGGGGTTGGGAGTGAGGGCTGAGTAAGGGAAGAGATACCAGAGGCCCTGGGGATTGAAAGCAGAACAGATCTTATTTCCTTTGGAAAAGGTGACAGAATCACTTAGAACAGTGGTTCTCAACCTTCCTAATGCCGTGACCCCTTAATACAGTTCCTCATGTTGTGGAGATCCCCAACCATAACATTTTCATTACTACTTCATAACAGTAATTTTGCTACTGATATGAATCGTAAATATCTGATATGCAGGATGTATTTTCATCCACTTGACAAAATTTGGCACAAATACCTGATACACCCAAATTTGAATACTGGTGGGGTTGGTGTGTGCGTGGGGGGGGGGTTGATTTTGTCGTTTGGGAGTTGTAGTTGCTGGGATTTATAGTTAACCTACAATCAAAGAGCATTATGAACTCCACCAACAATAGAATTGAACCAAATTTGGTACACAGAACTCCCGTGAGTAACAGAAAATACTGGAAGGATTTGGTGGGCATTGACCTTAAGTTTTGGAGTTGTAGTTCACCTACATCCAGAGAGCATTGTGGATTCAAACAATGATGGATCTGGACCAAACTTGACACGAATACTCAATATGCCCAAATGTGAACTGGTGAAGTTTGGAGAAAATAGACTTTGACATTTAGGAGTTGTAGCTGCGGGGATTTATAGTTCACCTACAATCAAAGAGCATTCTAAACCCCACTAGTGATAGAATTGGGCTGAATTTCCCACACAGAACCCACATGACCAACAGAAAATACTGTTTTCTGATGGTCTTTGGCATCCACTCTGACATCCCGCTCACGACACACACACACCCCTGGAGTCCCAACCCCCAGGTTGAGAAACGCTAACTTAGAAGAAGCTTAAGAAACAACTGCTAACGTACTTTTAAGGCCCCATCTATATGACCATATAGTGCAATTTGAAACTGCATTATATGGTCATTGAATATTCATATAATGCTGATTGGTGCACTTAAACTGCATTATATGACTGTACTACACTGATTATGTAATGCAGTTTCAAGCTGCATTGTAATAATAATAATAATAATAATAATAATAAGAAGAAGAAGAAGAAGAAGAAGAAGAAGAATCTTTCTTTATACCCCACCTTCATCTCCCCAATGGGGACTCGGGGCGGCTTACATGAGGCCAAGCCCAACAGTGCATTACAATAAAATAAAAACCAAAGCAAAAAAACAACACAATAAGATTAATAAAACATAAGAATACAGTAAACAATGTAAAAAATACAATGAAAAATCATTCACAATCACAGTGACAATGAGCGGGCCACATGTACAAGATAAAATGCTAAAAACTCAGGGTGAGATAGGAGTGGAGCAGATTATTTGTGAGGGAGAGGCTCATAAAAAACAGGGTTGTAAAAACAGGCCTTCAAACACGCAGGGAGAAGTGTCCTATAGGGACAAACATTGAGGGGGAGCAACAAAGAATAGATGTATGGTTACTCTCCAAAAGCGCAACGGAAAAGCCAGGTTTTGAGATCCTTCTTGAAGGTTGCTAGGGCGGAGGCTTGCCTAATCTCACTGGGCAATGAGTTCCAGTAAGGCAGTATAGATGGAGCCACTTCACATTGGGGATATAGAGCAGAGTGATTTTAATGTGGAAATAACGTAAATGTTCAATCTTCTGTAACTTTTTATATTAATGCTCAAGTGTACAGGACTAGTGAGTTTCTCGGAGATATATTTGTCTCCTGCTATACTGGCTGTGGACCTGTAGATGTTATTGTCCAACCTGAATAATTCTTCCAGCCTCTGGGCTTTTTGTTTGTTTGGAACCAAATCATAAAGAATCTTGATGACTTCAAGCAGTTTATCATTGAAAACAAACCTCTCCAGAGTCAGTCATCCATGCCTTCAGAAACATATTGATCTGCTTTGTACTACTTGGCAGATGGACCCCATTGTGGGACACTGTGACTTGGTACATTCTGGTCCACCTAATCCTACCCTCTCCCCAATTCCAGCCAGTTCCCACAGCAGCTATGGCAAGTGGTACGGATTCAGATGGTGAACAGGTGGTGCCAGATGAAGAAGGGCCTGATGTGAAAGCAGTCCAAGCCCATTATCTTCGAAGCCCCTCTCCCAGCCGGTGAGTGGTGTTTGCTTTTGGCTTGAAGTTTTATCTTTTTGTCAAGCGGGCCTCCTGAACACATAAAAGAAACTTTTCTTCTCCCTACTCACCTTCTAAAAATTTAACCTGTCACATTCTCCAAACCCTGATCAATAAAATAGATGAAAACATTGTTTTTTAACACCTTCCAGAAATCAGGATGGAGAGCTTGTTACTTTCTTAGGTGATCCCTCATTGTCCGAGTATCATGATCTTCCAAGTGTAGTGTCTTAGTAGTGGGTGCATAGGTGAATGTAGAGCCCTATTCTTGACCCACATGTTCTTTCGCATTGGTTTCCAGGTGGAAGGCAGTCCAGGTCAGAGTTAGCTTGATGCGCTTTCCTCTTGCCATGTTCCTCCCTTTTGCTTTCCATTCGTGCCTCGTCAAATTCCACAGCACTTCTGGTCACAGCTGACCTCCTGTTAAGAGTGCTCAAGGGTCAGGGCTTCCCAGTTCTCAATGTCTCTGTCACAGTTTTTAAGGTTGGCTTTAAGCCCATCTTGGAATCTCTTTTCCTGTCCACCAACATTTTGTTATCCGTTCTTGAGCTGGGAGTGTAGTAACTGCTTTGGGAGACAGTGATCAGGCATTCAGACAACGTGGCCAGTGCAGCAGAGATGGTGGCGTAGGAGCATCGCTTCAATGCTGGTGGTAATTGCTTCTTCTAGCATGCTGACATTTGTCTGCCTGAGATTTGCACAAGAGATTTGCAGGATTTTTTGGAGGCAGCACTGATGGAATTGTTCCAGGAGTCAAGTGTAATGTCTGTAGACAGTCCACGTTTCACAGGCGTATACCAGGGTTGGGAGGACAATAGCTCTAAAAATACATAGAGCTCATGTATTATTTAGCTAACCTAATTGGTTCAACAGAGATCCCCTGCCCAAAAAAAAAATCTTGGGAAGATTTGGTGAAACAAAACAGAAGAAGCAGAGCCCATCCAAGCTGCTACTGTTTGCATCAGCCTTACCACAGTTGTTGAGACTCACAAATTTGGGACAAGAGCACTGTTGGGTCTTGTACCCCATTTGGCTTTGAGGTTGCATCCAATAATGTGACATTCAAGTTGTAATTATTTTTGAAATGTCAGTTACTTGGTTTGTTTTAGTCAACTAAAAGTAGTCTTCTTCAGTGCTCCAATGTGCCTCTCAAACAATCAATTTCCATCTCTTTGTCTTCTTTAGTTATTCTTTACTTTAAAAAGAACACAAATGCCTAAAACTCAAATTTTATGTACAGTTACTTGAGGAATATGTCCTATGTAACTCAGTTACACATATTTTGATGCATATTTGCTGTATATAAAAATAAATGTCTTTTCATTACTACTTTAACATCTGAAATAAATGTGTATCTGAAGAAGTATGTGATACAATCTTAGTTTTCACATAGGGTTCTTTCATTTTAAATGCAACAGGCCCATCATATGGAATCCAGGGGTTTGTCGTTTCATGAAATATTTAAAACTTTCTGCCAGAGAGCTCTAGTTTTTCTCCAAACTATAAATCCAAGGTTTCCATAGGATGCATTGGAATCATGTGAAAGGTCCCATGATCCCAAAGCTTGTTGCAGTTTTGCTAAGACATTTTAATGGAAAACAACTCCCTTATATTGAGGGAAAGTGTGTTCAGTTTTCATTCGCAGTAACATTTTGCCATTAGGACAGTGATCCTCCAAGCGGAAAGTTATTAGGGAAAATGTAAGTCTCTATCCAGTTTTTATTGCTAGAGCCAAGAAGCAGAACACTGATATACTCAGCCTAGTGAGTAAACACACTTGACACGTCATCTCCTTCCCTACTGCCTGTTATTGCTCAGAGCCAACACAATGTCTTAGCTCTTTTCACTGCTTAATGTACCATGTCCGGAGGTTGTGTTTTAGTTGGGAGAAATTACTTTGGAATACAGACTACTATTAAGGCAAGCAAGAGAGGCATTGAAAAGAACATGGAGTGACACAGGGTGTGGGTGTGGGTGTGCATGTGCACCCGCATGCATGGGGAGGGGGAGTTTGTTGTCAGCGAATGCTCTTAAGCAGTGTTTCCCAACCTTTTTTGGTCCAGAACCACTTGACCAGGGACCACTCGCCAACATTAGTACTAAAAGGGTTATGAATCATTTTTTGGTAAATTTAGATTCAATTTGGTTATTTAGGGTGCTGATTCAGAAAACTGCATTGGATAGACCACATCAGCTCTAGTTTCTGACACAGAACATATGCCATCCAGAAGTCACCATCTGCTCGGTCACAGAAAGTCATATTTAATAATCTGAAACTGATGTAGTTGTAATCTTTCGTGGGTAGTGAGCCTCTCCCCTCTGACATCCTTGTTGCATTGGCACTATATGAGGGTTTCACAAGACAAGTTGCTCTCGTTGCCATGTGGTTTTGAGACAATAGTGTAGCAATGGTGAGGCTGCGGACCATATTTTCGTTCTTGCGGACCACTGGTTGAGAACCACTACTCTTAAGGAACTAGATGTATAGAAATGAATTTCTACATGGGGGAACTCCCTCATGTATACCTTTCAGGGGCCATACGGCAGTGCTGGAAGCATGGGAGAGGACAGAACTAAATGTGTGGTTTCCCAAGGCCATATATGTGTGTGTGTTTAAATATCCCATTTTTACCATTTTTTCCATCTATCCTCCATTCAACATGCCTACATACATACAAAAATGACCACCATCTGCACACATTCATATACCCAAACATATATCTTTTTCCTTTCGCATCTATGGGGAAAATGCTTTCTTGCTGTATGGTGCCTGCTGGTTTTTCTGATGTCCAGTGAGAGGCCAAGCTTTTGCAAATGTGTTTGAAGTGGCTTGTAGGCATTCCTTTGAATCAGCACAGACTACGTTATTGTCATCATATTGGAGTTCTATAACAGAAGTTGTGACCTTACTTTTGGCTTTCAGCCTATATAGCTTAAAGGGCTTGCCATCTGTCTGATAGTGATTTCCACACCAGTGGGAAGGTGTAGAATCATAGCGATGAAGATGTAAAATAAGGATGGAGCAATAACTCATCCCTATTTTACATGTGATCCCATCTTAAATTGGTTAATGTATTGTCGAAGGCTTTCATGGCCGGAATCACTGGGTTGTTGTAGGTTTTTCCGGGCTATATGGCCATGTTCTAGAGGCAATGGGTTACTTTGGAAACCGTTGCTGTCCAAGAATGTTGCCACTGTGTCATCATGGAGCAGCCACAGGATGTTCACCAATTTTTCAAGCCATCTTATTCTCAGAAAGATGGTCCAGAGAGCGTTGTGATTCACTGTGTCAAAGGCCTTTGCAAGGTTAATGAATGCCATGTACAAAGGTTTATTTTGTTCTCTGCATTTTTTGTTTTTGGAAGCTGTCATGCAGTGAAGATCATATCCACTGGAGGGGTGGAAGCCATTCTGGGATTAAAGGAGGGCATTTTCTTAAATAGGTAGAAGGCAGTTTGTGAATATTCTTGAGAGGATTTTCCCAACAGAGGTTAAAATGAAGATTCCTCGATAGTTTCCACAGTTGATTCTTTCTCCCTTTTTGAAAAGGGTGGTGATCATGGCATGCTGGAATCTTTTCTGTCACCCACACTTTTTGTGGAGTGTTGTATCAGCTCAGGCTCACCCTCTTTAAAGATTTCAGCAGGGATCCCATCAGGTCCATTGGCTTTGATATTTTTTTAATTGGTTGATGGCTTTATTGACTTCCTCCAAGGCAGACAGTGCTGCAAGCTCATCCTCAGTTTGTTGCTGAAGGATTTGTGATAGAACCTCTTCAGCCACATTGGAACTGTAGTTAAGGAGGGTATTGTAATGCTCTTTCTGATGTAGCATAATGGATTTTTTTGTCATTTGCATATGTATACACATGCACACACAACTTCTCAGCTGATTGGGAAAATTGGGAACAAGCAGGAAAATAGTTTTGGAATCAACTGAAGAGAGTAAATTGAATCAAGGCACAAATAAAGAAGATGCAATGGGAAGCATTCAACCCTCAGATTGCTGGTTCCCACCCATGGATGACTAGTTCTAATCCTATTTACTCCACACAGTTTGCTGTAACTTTGTTTTCATTGTTCTTAAATAAACAGTCTGTCGTTAAGTATGAGTAGTTGTCAGTAAAAACCTATACTAAAATTGCATGATTGCTTATTCTAATACCTACACCTACACAACTGTGAGCACAGTATGGTAACAACATGTTCACAAGTGGGTGGAAGCCAGGTCTTCCTTGCCGTCTCAGTCCAGCCTCCACATGTTCAGCTGGAAGTGTAAATAGAATCAATGCCACCATGGGCGTTTACAGCTGGAAACATGCAAACTGTCATCAGTCTGTCAGTGGCTATGTGGAGGATTGGATTGGCAACAGTGGAGACGTACTCTTTGCCCATGTGTGCTGGCTGCACATGTGAAAGGGACTTCTGTTCTCTGGAGTGTTCTTAGGTCCCTTCCTAAGAGAGATAAAAGGATAAATGAGGCTTTGTAGTCCTGTTCCATTTTTCTCTTTTATCTCTTTCCCTCTTCCCATGACTAGAGATGAGAATGAGCACTGCTAGCCAAGCCATCTGTCTTTTGCCACAGCTTAGCTACACTTGGCCAAGTTCATGTTTCCCCCTTCCCTTTGCATATGGCTCATTTGCATAGACATTGTTAAGATACCCTTAGAACATTTGCAGTTGCTTTTTAACATGGTTTGGAATACAGTTGGTCTGCCACATATGCTGGGGTTTGTGGGTGGAAGAGCACTACAAATATGGCAAAACTGGAAATTTTTTAAAAAACACACTTTTTTGCATGAAAGAACATGTCTCTAGACATCTCCATGTCCTCCAGTGTGATTCTGCTGGATCTTCACAATGAATTTATGCTGGATGACCTAGAGATTTCTGGAGATAACAGTGGTTCCCAACCTGTGGTCCACAAGAACTAAAATATGGTCCACAGCCTCACAGTTACTACATCAATGCAACAAGAGT